TCATAGTGACCTATCACCCCAATAGAGCACTTTGCTCTCAGACTGGGAGAGCCTTCAGCTGGAAACCAGCTCCCAGTTTGGATAGAGAAAACAATGCCGCTAGTTTTAAGCTTTCCTTTTTGATAAAGCGTATAGTTAGAGCTGGATCAGCTGACCCGATGGCCCTGAACCTCTGCTTAGTGGAGCGATAGGCTCAGGGGGACTTCCAGTGATAACTTATTTGTGTTCTTTAGATTTTGGTCTTTTCTGTCCCTCAGTTAGTTTTTTCTTGTTTGTTATTCGTGGTTTCCTCTTTTTCTCCCCTCACCCTCAGCCAGTTGTTGCAGATGGTTACTGCTTCATCAGCCTGGTTATGTTGGAGGTTTCTTCCTCTCTGATTGGTCGGTTTTCTCTCTGATACTGTACTGTATGTAGGACTGCTGTCATGTTTAAGGTCCATATCATTTTAACCCTTTTTCACTCCTGTGTCTTTAAGGTTACCAGCTTAATTTAGTCTTCAGGAGCTCCCACTGTCTGGAAAGCCTGTCCCATAGGGGGTGCTCTTGAGCTGGTCCAGAATGATTGGGGCTCTTTGGGGCTGCAGAAAAAGTAAATGTCTTTTTTCACCTTAGATACAACAGATATAGCTCCGATTTTTAAATATTTTACAGGTCTATATTGTTGTAAAACAAGCTGTAGTTTCTACGACCGAAGTGTAAAATAAGAGCTTCCCTGAGCCTGAGGGTACATCTGTCGTAGATAAAGAGCAGTGTGGAGATGATGGTCAGAGCTCCCGATGTTTCCCTGTGAAGCTGTTTTTACTTCCAAACATCTGGAAGAACCTAAAACTACCTGTTGAACCAAACTCAGAGTCAGAAATGAGCCCACGCACTCACTTTGCTAACATAAGTTGAGCAGCTTGAAGAATGAAAGGCGACATGAAAGCACAGCGAACTGCAGCCAGTCCTCATTTATCGCCCCGAGGCGGCGGCTCGGCTCCGTGCACGACAGAACGACTCCATCTGCAGCGGACTTTGAGCTTTATAACCCCGCAGACATTTTACATCAACAAAGCACTTCAGCTTTATAAAATCACTGTTGTTTGCAGCTTCTCTGTCCAGCATTAATCACCGGTGGCCTTAGGTTTCACTCGTTTTGACTCTTATTTTGGTGGATTTTAGAGGAAGCGTTTGTAAAAACTGCTCATGCTGCTTAAAGAATTACAAACAAACACTTGAATTGATGGTTTTGTTTCTGAATGTTTGGTTAAAAAATACTTTAAAAGTAAGTGAAACTACTTCTCCATCCTCAAGGCTTCAAAATAAAAGCCTCCAGTCATTGCTAAGTAAGGAAACAAACAGGATTCGTCCTTTTTTGACTCTTTGAAGTAGAAAAAAGAATAAAAGTCGTAAATCGTTCCTGCTGCTAAAGCTCTCTGATATCCCGATATCTCCGCTCACTCTGATGAGTTCTTACCTTTAGAGACGCAGCAGCAGCTCCGTTATGAGCCAGGACGAGGCTGGGTGTGGTGTTTAAATACAGGCTGACTCACACACACACACACACTCCGCCTTCTGACTGCCTGCATGACTCACTG